AATTCCTCTCCTGATGTTAACAGTTCCATAGCTTTCATTGCCCACGAACAACTCAGTTTTCCATTGTTTCATCGCATTTTCGGTGAACTTTCTAATATTTTCACAAACTCCGATGACATCTAGACATTTGATAATCCAACAATGTGGCAGTGAGTCAAATGCTTTTTTGTAATCAATCCAAGTTGTATCGAGGTTGTATTATTATTATTATTATTATTATTATTATTATTATTATTTATTTGATACACAACAAGTTTAGTACACAGCGAACAAGATCACTATTTATTTATTTGTCGTGTCAGAGCAACCAGTCCATTATATTACATTTCTAACAGAACAAAGCAAACAAACAGAAAAATACACAACTTGTGAGTTTGGTAGCTGGTTAAATGTCCTTTGACCAGTATCTGGCCACTTGGAGTGCTTCCGGTGTTGCTGCAAGAAGGTCCTCCATTGTGCATGTAGCAGGGCTCAGGTTGCATTGCAGCAGGTGGTCAGTGGTTTGCTCTTCTCCACACTCGCATGTCGAGGATTCCACTTTGTAGCCCCATTTCTGAAGGTTGGCTCTGCATCTCGTGGTGCCAGAGCGCAGTCTGTTCAATGCCTTCCAAGTCGCCCAGTCTTCTGTGTGCCCAGGAGGGAGTCTCTCATTTGGTATCAGCCATTGGTTGAGGTGCTGGGTTTGAGCCTGCCACTTTTGGACTCTTGCTTGCTGAGGTGTTCCAGCGAGTGTCTCTGTAGATCTTAGAAAACTATGTCTAGATTTAAGTCGTTGGCGTGCTGGCTGATACCCAAACAGGGGATGAGCTGGAGATGTCTCTGCCTTGGTCCTTTCACTATTGGCTGCTACTTCCCGGCGGATGTCAGGTGGTGCAATACCAGCTAAGCAGTGTAATTTCTCCAGTGGTGTAGGGCGCAGACACCCCGTGATAATGCGGCATGTCTCATTAAGAGCCACATCCACTGTTTTAGTATGGTGAGATGTGTTCCACACTGGGCATGCATACTCAGCAGCAGAGTAGCACAGCGCAAGGGCAGATGTCTTCACTGTGTCTGGTTGTGATCCCCAGGTTGTGCCAGTCCACTTTCGTATGATATTGTTTCTAGCACCAACTTTTTGCTTGATGTTCAGGCAGTGCTTCTTGTAGGTCAGAGCACGGTCCAGAGTGACTCCCAGGTATTTAGGTGTGCTGCAATGCTCCAGTGGGATTCCTTCCCAGGTGATCCTTAGAGCTCGGGATGCTTCTCTGTTCTTGAGATGAAAGGCACATGTCTGTGTTTTAGATGGGTTAGGGATCAGCTGGTTTTCCCTGTAATAGGCAATAAGAACACCTAGAGCTTCGAAGAGCTTCTGTTCTACCGTCTCAAAGCTCCCTGCTTGAGCAGTAATGGCACGATCATCAGCATAGATGAAGCTCTCTGTCCGTTCTGGCAGTGGCTGGTCATTTGTGTAGATGTTGAACATGGATGGAGCAAGCACGCTCCCTGAGGCAGGCCGTTCTTCTGTTTCCGCCATCTGCTTCTCTGGCCCTGGAACTCAACAAAAAAGCTCCTGTTTTGTAGCAGGTTTCCTATGAGGCGGGTGAGGTGGTAGTCCTTTGTGATATTATACATTTTTCTCAGGAGGAGAAAGATCACTATGCTGGCTTTTGTATTTGATTACATGTCAGACACTTCTCAAGTGTCTAGGACTGTTATTATTGTTGTTGTTGTTATTATTATTATTATTATTATTATTATTATTATTATTCTCTGCCAAAGTGTAACCGAACCTACAGCAAGCTACAACTCTCAAGATTCCATAGCATGGAGCCATGGCAGTTCAAGTAGCATCAAAGTGCATTAATTCTACAATATAGATGTACCTCCAGCCTGGCACACGGCTCTCCGTTTCCCAATATCTTCATCCCACCCCACTTTGCCAAGCAAGACTCTCTCCAACCTTCATCTGACAGCCTTAATGCTCGAAGACAGGAAAAGTGCATTCCTCATCACAAGCCATCAATGTCTCAGAGTTCCTCAAAACTGATCATTTTGCAAGTTGGCCTGTCAAAAGAGTCCCAGCATGAAAAGCTCATTATCTATTCATTTGAATAGGTGACTCAGATACGCTCTTTTCGGCATCAGGGAAAAGACCCATTGGAGCAAAAGAAGGATATTACGCCAAAATCAAGTTGGAAAAGGGAACATAGGGGTCATCTAGCCCAACTCCTTGCCATGTATAACACACACATTCTTGAAATCTATATTTCACGGTACATTGAAAACGCATTCAATTCTTGCTTTTGAGAAGGAATGAATGTTCCCTGTTCATTAGCAAATTATGCAGATGGCCTTATGGAAACACCATATGCTGAAAAACCATAACATGGTTCTGAAATTGTTCAAACATGCTATCTAAATATCATGATGGCAAAAACAGAAAAATGGCCTGTCTCGGGGCAGTGTGCTTGCTCCATCAATGTTAAACATTTACACAAATGACCAACCACTGCCAGAAGGGACAGAGATTTCCATGTATGCGGATGACCATGCCATCACCGCCCAAGCAGGGAGCTTTCAAATGGTTGAACAGAAGCTCTCTGAAGCTTTTGCTGCTCTTACTGCCTATTACAGGGAAGACCAGCTGATTCCTAATCCATCTAAAATACAGATGTGTGCGTTTCATTTTAAGAACAGAGAAAGATGGGGGTGGAGCCTAAGCGGTCTGAAGGAAAAGGTGTCTTTTAAACTGAGGTTTGAGGTCCCAGTTTGCCAGTTGGAGTTTGGAACGGGTAGAGAGAAGAAGTGTGGGTTTTAGCGAGAGCAGTTTGGGTTTTGAAGAAGTTTGGGTCAGTCTTTTGTGTAGTATTCAGAATAGCTATCGAGAATATAGCTAGAATACTGTGTGGAGCAGTACCCCGTTAGTGGTCTGTCAATTTCCTAAGGAAGTCTAGTTCAGGGTTTTTTTGCTAGATTCCTAAGGGGCATTTTTGGGAATTACATTCAGAGATTAATTTCCTGAAGTAATTTTCTGTGTTGAAACTTTTAAGACTTGTAACCCAGGGGTTTTTAAGATCTTTACTCTCATGCAACCACAAGTTTTTTATGCCAGTATTTTACTGAAACCATTAAGCATTTGTACCTGAATAATTCAAGCCTGTTCAATAAATGTTCTCGTTATTTTTATCAACTTATACCAGCCTCAGTGTGAATACCTTCGTGGTCAAAGTGCTATTAAAGACAGCTTCACAATAGCTTCTAAGAAACTATAGTGGCACAGTGTGTGTTCACAAATCAAACTCTCAATATTACCTCAGCCTAATTAATAGTGACATGGTGGCAGCGGAAATCTTTTGAAGAATAATTTTAAGTCTCTCAGTTCCAGGGGTTCCCAGTTCCTAACTTTTAAATAGACAGTATTGTGTCCAAATTTGGTGTCAATTTGCCCAGTGGTTTTTGAGTTATGCTAATCCCACAAATGAACATTACATTTTTATTTATATAGATTCGCATCCAAACCCAAGTAAAGAAGGTGGCGGCATTACTTTTCATTCAACCCTCATATCTATCATGGCAAGAGACTCAAATCCAGAGAAAGATTTATCTCTAGAATTAGCTTTTATGGAGACAAGGGAGAAAAAAATGGGGAAAAAATGAGAAAGGGAGAATGGATTATAAATGAGTCGCGAGAAATAACTGGGTTGTTTAAGACTTCCATAACTCTCCATTCCGAGACAACACCAGCCGGTCTCTCTAAATCAGAAAGTAATTACAATCCCACACTTTGTTTTGCTCGTTTACTTTCCTGCTTAATTACTGGGGATTTTTTATGAGCCCCCCCCCCCTTCCAGAAAATAATTGCCGCATGTCTCCTTATCAGAAAACGAACTATCAGCGCTCTTTTCAAGACGGGAAGCATCAACACCAATTAAAAACAGTTACGCAAGCGATTCGGAAACAAAAGGCCAGCGAGTGAGGGGTTTTTCATAAAATGCATCCAATATGTCATTTAAACAACATTGCACCTGCGTTGGCTTGCAAAGAAAGAAGGATTTTCGCTCTAAAGAGTGAATGTGCTGAGCAGGTTTTGCAAGGGACAAGAAATGCAGCCGTCGTCAAAAGCACATCAAAGTTTTCCCTTTGAAACAAAGGCAATGCGCTGCTTCAAAAGCCAGAGAGACCAGAGGTGGGAGGAACATCTTGGGGGGAAAAGACTAATGAAAGTCAATCCGCACTGTTCAAAAAGAGTGTGTTTTTGGGTTTTTTGGAAAGGTACTTAGGCTATCCAGATATGTCACCAGGCTATAGATGCGATGTTAACAGACTTTTATCAAAACATGTTTTATCAAAACAGTTGTGCTCCCACAGAAGTTGAGGAAGCAAGAAGCCATTTTGTTCCCTTCTGCTTCAGGATAAGCCTTGTCTTAGAGGGCACTAGAAATCTGAGTAAGTGTTTAAAATTAGCTGCTTGAGTGTTGCTTTGTTTGAGAGGCGGGGCGAGGCTACATTCTTTTAGGCAGCAGTGCAGGCCAGCACTTAGTGGCCCATTGTTCTGCTTGATTCACATTAAATGGCCTTGCAGCTTCAAAGCCTGGCTACTTCCTGATGTTTGCTCAATTGTTGATACACATAGGGATCATAGAATGATGCAATCCTAGTTGGAAGAGGCCCCAAAGGGTTGCTGTGAGTTTTCCGGGCTGTATGGCCACATTGCAGAAGCATTCTCTCCTGACATTTTGCCCACATCTATGGCAGGCATCCCCAGAGGTTGTGAGGTCTGTTGGAAACTAGGCAAGTGAGGTTTATATATCTGTGGAAAAATGTCCAGGGTGGGAGAAAGAACTTTTGTCCACTAGAAGCAAGTGTGAATGTTGCAATTGGCCACCTTGATTAAGCCAAGACCATGGATTAGGAGCTAGTGAAGGCGAAAAAGACCACATGTTTCAAGCGACCAAACCTGGTGAAAAGTAGAATCTGCTCCATATGGAGACGTGATCAACTATGAAACGGCGACTCACCCGTTTGGTGTAATCCATGGCCTTCAAAATGGAGAGGTTAAGGGTCTCCAGAGAAGCCAAGACATCTTCGTAGTCTCCCATATGGTCAGTAAAATAATCTGGATACCAAGGATGTTGCAGGATTCAGGGAAGAGGAAAGTTGGAGAGAAGAATAAAGGAGATCATGTCAATCATGTGCTGCTCTGAAGTTTGATCAAGAGAATATCTCAAATAGCACAATTTGACAAATTGCTGTGAGCCTAATAATAATAATAATAATAATAATAATAATAATAATAATAATAATATGTATCCCGGTTTTCTTGCTAAACAAGACCCAAAGCAGCTCACAACATTATAAAAAACAATACAAGTCAGCATACATATATATAACAATCTATATAAATTGAAATGTAATGTTCGTTTGTGGGATTAACATAACTCAGAAATCACTGGACAAATTGACATGAAATTTTGACACAATACATCAAACAGTCCAACGAGTGTTCATCACCCCTAAAAATACAGCCCCCCCCAGCAGAATGGACTTAAAACCCCCAAAATACACCATACACACACACACACACACACACACACACACACACACACATATACATATATATATATACATATATACTCTCTCTCTCTCTCTCTCTCTCTCTCTCTCTCTCTCCCCTTGGGGAGAAGCCAAAGTCCAAAAGTAAATGCAAGGTCATGTGTCATTGTTTTTTAGTGTTTTATTGTTTTTGCTTGATGTTTTATTATTTGCTTATGAGTTTTACTGTTATATTTGTATGTTGTTGTTTGTTGGCGGCCTTGGCCTTTGTAAACCGCATAGAGTCCTTCGGGAGATTTTGCGGGGTATAAATAAAGTTAATAATAATAATAATAATAATAATAATAAGGTCTTACAGGAGGCATGAAACAAAACCTTTTGATACAAATCTTCACAGAAGAAAGGAGAAAAAGTCTTTGGCAAAATGGCTTACAGTACACAGGATCAAGAATTTTGGGTAAGAAGTCTTTTGCAAAGCTGACGTTGTAGCTGTAACACAGAGACCGGAACACAAACACACCAAGTAGATCAGTTGCTGCCAGCACTGACAACTGCCTTTTCTGCTAATTTATAGCCCTGAGCTCCCAGCACAGATGTTCCTAGGTCGAGGTCTGATTGCTCAGTGTTTTCTAAATGACCTTCTTTCTTCTTTTGCCCTTTGCCATTCTTGAAATGTAGGGACTTGTAGTATGTCTTCATCACCATCTCCTTCCTCCTCAATACTTGGCCCCAAATCCCCAAGTGTGACCTCTTCATCCTCCTGTTCTACCTCCTCCTCAGAAGCAGAAGTATAGTCCACAACACTATATCCTGATCTTATGACTGACCAGAAGGACCTCCGTCTTGTCTGGATTCATTTTCAATTTGTTTCTCCTCATCCAGTCCACAACAGCTGTATTAAAATTATCAGCTGTTGTGGACAGCTGATAAGCACCGGTTCAGGGTCTGGGCTACTTCCATTGCTTTTGGTGGAAATAAGTAGTAGAGTTGGGTGTCATCTGCATACAGATGGCATTGAACAACAAAGCTCTGGATCAGTGTTTCTCAATCTGGGGGTCGGGACCCCTGGAGGGATTGCGAGGGGGTGTCAGAGGGGTCGCCAAAGACCATCAGAAAACACAGTATTTTCTGTTGGTCATGGAGGTTCTGTGTGGGGAGTTTGGCTCAATTCAATTATTGATAGCATTCAGAATGCTCTTTTATTGTAGCCCAACTATAAATCCCAGCAACTACAACTCCCAAATGTCAAGGTCTATTTTCCCCAAACTCCATCAGTGTTCACATTTTGGCATATTGAGAATTCATGCCAAGTTTGGCCCAGATCCATCACTGCTTGAGTTCACAGTGCTCTCTGGATGTAGATGAACTACAACTCCAAAACTCAAGGTCAATGCCCACCAAACCCTTCCTGTATTTTCTGTTGGTATGGGAGTTCTGTGTGCCAAGTTTGACTCAATTCCATTGCTGGTAGAATTAGGAATGCTCTTTGATTGTAGGTGGACTATAAATCCCAGCAACTACAACTCCCAAATGACAAAATCAGTCCCCCCTCAAACCCACCAGTATTAAAATTTGGGTATATTGGATATTTGTGCCAAATTTGGTCCAGTGAATGAAAATACATCCTGCATACAAGATATTTACTAGGCCTGTGCGGTTTCGTTCGTTAATTTTGTTATTCGTTAAACATTTTTTAATAATTACAAAACGATTACAAAACACATTTTCAAACCCGGAAGGGTTTTAAAATAACGAAGCGGCATCCCCCATTCTTTTAACGAGCTTCCGCCCGTTTCGGAAATGGGATGGAGGATGCTGGTGCCTGGGAGCCAATCCGGCGCTCCCAAGCACCGTGGCTGATTTTGATTGGCCGGGAAGGCCTTTAAAAGCGGCTCCGCGTGGCCGCAGAGCTCATTTGCGCGGAGGCGAGGGAGGAGAGAGGTCCGGGACGGGAGGGCTGCTTGGCTTGCTTTGGGTTGGCTTAGTTGGTTGCGGTAAAGACTTGCATTGTTGGAAAAGACTCTTCTTTGTTGGAAATCTAAAAAAAGAGAAGACTCTTCTGTTGGTGTTTGCTCTCGACTGCCCTGTCTTTTGGCTGTGTTAGCTGTTCATCAGGGCCATTTTTGGGTTAATTTTCCATTTTTGAATATTTTCTAAAAATACCTGCCTTTTATTCTTAAAAAAATACCAAAAATATTCCAAAAAAGAGAAGACTCTTCTGTTGGTGTTTGCTCTCACTTGCCCTGTCTCGTGGCTGTGTTTGGTCCACATCAGGGCCAGTTTTTGGTTAAGTTTCCATTTTTGAATATTTTCTAAAAATACCTGCCTTTTATTCTTAAAAAAACCAAAAAATATTCTAAAAAAGAAAAGACTCTTCTGTTGGTGTGTGCTCTCACTTGCCCTGTCTCGTGGCTGTGTTTGGTCCACATCAGGGCCAGTTTTTGGTTAAGTTTCCATTTCTGAATATTTTCTAAAAATACCTGTCTTTTATTCTTAAAAAAATACAAAAAATATTCTAAAAAAATAAAAGAGTCTTTGGTGGCTGTGTGTGCGTTTGTCATTTGTGTAGTTCCAACCAGTGCGCTCCTTTTGCCAACACAAAGTGCTATAATACAGTGCTCGCTCATTTGTGTAGTTCCAACCAGTGCGCTCCTTTTGCCAACAGAAAGTGCTATAATACAGTGCTCGCTCATTTGTGTAGTTCCAACCAGTGCGCTCCTTTTGCCAACACAAAGTGCTAGAATACAGTGCTTGCTCGCTCATTTGTGTAGTTCCAACCAGTGCGCTCCTTTTGCCAACACAAAGTGCTAGAATACAGTGCTCGCTCTCTGTGCTTTGTGTTGCCTTACATTACCACTGCCTGCTGAACGCGGGAACATTGTCCTGATGCGTACTACTTTGCTTTGTGCTTTGTGTTGTAACTGTGGCTGTGTTCGCTCCACAATTTTCCATTTTTAAATATTACTGAAAAATATTTCTCTTTTATTCTTCCAAAAAAATAAAAAAAACCTAAAAAAAGAAAAGACCCTTGTGTGCCTGTGTGTGCGTTTCTCCCTGTCCTGTGGCTGTGTTCGCTCCACAAGAGGGCAAGGTTTTTGTTAATTTTCCATTTTTAAATATTACTGAAAAATATTTCTCTTTTATTCTTCAAAAAAAAAAACCTAAAAAAAGAAAAGACCCTTCTGTTGGTGTGTGCTCTCATTTGGCCTGTCTCGTGGCTGTGTTTGGTCCACATCAGGGCCAGTTTTTGGTTAATTTTCCATTTTTGAATATTTTTAAAAAAATACCTGTCTTTTATTCTTTAAAAAAATACAAAAAATATTCTAAAAAAAGAGAAGACTCTTCTGTTGGTGTTTGCTCTCGATTGCCCTGTCTTTTGGCTGTGTTAGCTGTTCATCAGGGCCAGTTTTTGGTTAATTTTCCATTTTTGAATATTTTCTAAAAATACCTGCCTTTTATTGTTAAAAAAAACCCAAAAATATTCCAAAAAAAGAAAATACTCTTCTGTTGGTGTGTGCTCTCACTTGCCCTGTCTCGTGGCTGTGTTTGGTCCACATCAGGGCCAGTTTTTGGTTAATTTTCCATTTCTGAATATTTTCTAAAAATACCTGCCTTTTATTCTTAAAAAAATACAAAAAATATTCTAAAAAAGAAAAGACTCTTCTGTTGGTGTGTGCTCTCGTTTGTCCTGTCTCATGGCTGTGTTTGGTCCACATCAGGGCCAGTTTTGGGTTAATTTTCCATTTTTGAATATTTTCTAAAAATACCTGTCTTTTATTCTTAAAAAAATACAAAATATTCGCTTTAACGAATCGATTCATTATTATCTCAATATCGAATCGAATCGTATTTAATAACAATGCTTCGGAAGCCGCTTTTGCGCATGCGCGATCGCGTCTGCCATTTTAACGAATTGACCCCGCGCCAATAACGAAGCTTCGGAAGTGATTTTGCGCATGCGCGGGGGTCCGCCATCTTTACAAAATGTTTTGTAAATATTTACGAAATTTCGTAAATACCGAAACTTTTTTTGGGAAAGTTTTGTAATTATTTTAAATATCGAAACAAAAAAACACCCCAATTACAAATCGATTTTAGAAACAAATTTTTTCTTGATCAACCAGGCCTAATATTTACATTACAATTAATAACAGCAGCAAAATGACACTTATGAATTAGCAACAAAAATAATTTTATGGTGGGGGGGGGGGTCACCATAACACGAGGAAGTGTATTAAGGGGTCGTGGCATTAGGAAGGTTGAGAACCACTGCTCTGGATGATCTTCCTGACTGTGAGAGCCGTTCAGCAGTGGAAATCTCTGCCCCGGAGTGTGGTGGAGGCTCCTTCTTTGGAAGCTTTTAAGCAGAGGCTGGATGGCCATCTGTCAGGGGTGATTTGAATGCAATATTCCTGCTTCTTGGCAGGGGGTTGGACTGGATGGCCCATGAGGTCTCTTCCAACTCTTTGATTCTATGATTCTATGATTCTATGATCTCTCCCAGCAGCCTCATGTAGATGTTAAACAACATGGGGGACAATACTGAACCCTGCGGGACCCCAT